CTCTAAAAAGAGTTTACAAATAATAATAATTAAAATATTTATAGTAGTTTTATTTAGTATTTATAATGGTTATTAATGTTTTAATTTTAGTTTAAAGTAGTAATGTTAAATTATTAAAACTTACTAGTTGGTTTAGGTTGCGGTTTATGGTTCCCATATCCATCCGGGACAACAATTTCGACATTAAAAATAATGCAAAATATTAAAATTAATTTTAACATAGTTTTTATTTTAAGCTTTATTTAATTATCTATTTAATTAATAAAATATAATTATGATTAAATATTGTTTTATTTATTTTTAAAAAAAGTATTACACTATTTCGTTATTAAATATAAACTGAAACATAACACATAAACATTTAGAAAATGAAATAAAATAATTGCTTTATATAAAAAGATATTTATTTTTGATACCAAAACATTTGTTTTATTATTATTGTTTTCAATAAACCATTTAGAAAATATTAAACAAAAGTTGGGTATGTTTCAATAATAGTTTACTAAATTTATGCCTTTGCAAAATTATGTCATAATGTTTTGTTTAGTACTTTTAAAATGGATATAAAGTCCGAATTCCAATTATATAATTTAGAAATATATTATAGTAAATAAAAAGTATAATATATTTTTATTACAGTTTTAATTTATAAAAGTATCAAAATAACTATTATAAATCTTACTAAACAACATTAATAATTAAAGCGTTATTTTTAAAAACCACTTTAATACCTTATTAACCAACAACTAAACACCTGGGTATACACTGGCAGTCCGATAGTTGCCTATAATAGCTCTTTTCGCACTGACAGATACCGGTCACACATTTGCCATTAGGTTTGCATAGTTGTGAGACTGGTGTACATATTAGTGGACAGTTAGATCCACATGATGAGGCATTTACTCTAGGTATGTCATGAACACCACCACTACATCTATAAATGGGTGGACACGGTACATCAAATGCACATGGAGGGTATAGTATTTGCAATTGTTGACATTTGTCAATTGGTGATGGTGCTACAATAATTTTAAGTAAAATTAAAATATATTTTATAATAATATTGTTCATAAATGTAAAATATATTTCGTACTATTAATAGGTACTTATGCTAAGCACCAAAACTAGACACATAATATTTATATTTGTAAAATAAACTTTATAAATTATAATTATATGAATAAAGTATTAATATTGTATATTACCTGGTGTAGTAGTTTGTCGTTTTGAATGAGCACTAATATTGTTTAAATAAAAATTTAGAAAAATTAGTAGTAATAATTTTAACATGATACAACTGATATTAAATTCAAAATCAAATTGAGTTTTATTGAGCTATACCAGTGCTGTACACAAGTACAAGTTAACTACTACAATATTTTACACGTAAATGGCAAAACATTTTAAAATAATATGTTTTTATTATAAATGTGTTCAAATAGTACAGAATTTTTACGGTTTATAGTATTGGTTTTCATAAATATTTTAAAATTATTTTCAAAATTTAATGATTCGTTTTTATTAAGGTAATTCTTAAAACTATTAATTAAACAAATAGTTTATAATGTGACTAGGTTTATTTACAATAAAAATTATATTATGTTTAAATTACCGGTAAAGCTAATTGTAAACTAAATAATTGTGTAAACAGTAACCTGTAAATTTATTTAAATTCAACAATAAATATTTCCATAGAAATTAATTTTAAAATAAATGGTATTTTTAAAAATATAAATTTCAAATTTTAAAAGGCATCAAGATTATAATTAATAATTTATATATAATTAGTTATATGCGTAAAATAGCTAGCAAATAAATAACTAATTTTATAATATTCATTTTATTAAAATAAATATAATTTTGTCAACATTAAATACATTACAATAAAAAATTATTGCAAGAATGAAATTTTATAAATTAAATGTTATCCAATAATAATTTCTTTAATAGATTTATTTTAAAGTTTATAAAATATGTGGTCTAATGTAATGCAAAATTGTCACTTTATTTTTGTTACAACTATTAAATAATTAAAATAATATTATACATAGTTATAAATTATTTATTAAAGTAGCATTTTCATGATGTCTATCATTAATTATTAGCGAGTTACTATTAACACTATACAAAACATTATGTCTAATATTATTTGTATCATTAATGATATAATTAAAAAAAACTTATGAAAAACTGATTTTCATGAGCATTAAGTTTATTAACTATTGACTCGTATTGTGAGTCAAATAAAATCAAATCCTTATTTATGGACCATCCTGTATATTTGTTTAACACTTCACTACATTCAGGTCTATTATCCCATAGCGGGTGTGAAATCATAGCCATGAGAGTTGTTTGTAATTCATGTACTCGGTCATTTAATATTGGAGTAGTTTCTGAATAATCGCAAGGTCTATTAAATAAATAGATACAATTGTTTATTAGCAAAATTTATTAATTTATCATTATAAGAGTTTTACCTATCACAGTTTAATGTAAATAAGTCCATGGCAAATAACTCTGCGCCAATAAGTGCCAAGCTATAAATATCTGACTTGTGTCCATACTTTTTACCCTGACCAATTTCCGGTGCCTGGTATCTTAGATCCCCGATATCTGCCGTATGTTTTCTGGTAGTCCTATAGTTAACACGTCTGTCGTGAACTGTAGCCAAACCAAAGTCGCATAACTTAACAAATCTACCGTTCCTTACATCCCTCGCAATCAATATATTGTCGGGTTTGAGGTCTCTGTGAATGATTTGTGGATTCAATTCATGCAAATACTGAACACTTTCTAACAATTGTCGGAATATTTCGCACGAAATTAAGTATTCAATAGAATTCATGGGAACTCCTATTTGTCGCTCAAATACTTGTGCTTTGATTTCAATTATTTTGGTCAGACTTTGCGAACACAACTCCATTTGGATGTACAGGTATTCCCGATAAGACCACGAGTCGTAATAGTGAACCACATATTTTGAGCGCACTTTGATTAAATTATTCACCTCGCTAAATATTTTGGACTTCTCGTATGCATTTAAGTCTAATGTTTAAAAATCAATAATTTATTAATTAACAATTTAAAAATTTAAAAATTAACTTGTAAGAATTAAGTTACCTGTTAGCTGAATTTGCTTTATGGCAAATAGTTCACTGTTCATTTTACATTTGACAGAATAAACTACGCCAAAACCACCAGAACCAATTTTTGATAATTGCATAAATGCTGCTTGATAGTAGTTTTGTGGTTTTAATTTTTTCAAAAAATACCTTTTAATAAAACTATATAGATCGTATAAAAACGGGAAACTTATCATTAATATTTCACAAATGAAAAATATGGCTGTATCTATATCCATAATAATTAAGTATTTATTANTATCTATATCCATAATAATTAAGTATTTATTAATATCGTGTATAATACTAAATGAGCAGGTAGGGTTATTATTGGTGTCTGTATTTGAACAATTTCGTGTTGATAATATTTGTGACCACTGTTCAAATGATCTTTTACCAATCGTGTAATTATTATTAATTAACATGCAACAGTTAAATGTAGTTTGTACATTTTGTACTTCTTCATATTCATAGTCCATTAGATCCGCATATAACCTTGCTACCATTGGGGTATTCATAAAATATTCATCTATCTAATTTAAATAAATTATTTTGTATTCATAAAAATTAATTTGATGGTAAAGTAGGATTAAAACTAAAAGTATACCTACATCAATTTTATATATAAAAATATTATATATTCCGTAAAACTGTAACATTAATGTAACGATAATTCCAATCGCAAATACGGTTACCTATCAAAATGGGGATAATTAAAACATATATTTTAATATATTAATTTTATTGGATTAATTCAAATTAATTATATAATTATTTAGAAATTTTAAAAACTAGTTTAAAGTTAAATCAGTTAATAATTTACTAATTATAATTGTAGTCACATATTTATAGATCTATCTCTCTCTCCAAATTTTGTGGTCCTGAATGGCAGAGAGAGAGAGAGAGAGAGAGAGAGAGAGAGAAAGCTATTAATATGTGATTACAATTATAATTATTAAATTATTAACCGAGTTAACTTTAAACTATATAAAATACTTTGTAAAAAATTAATAATAATT